TTCTCGCATTCCTTTAATTTCTGTTGACACTACCTTTGCATACTCCACCATTTGTCTTCGCTGGACTAGTGCCGTACTGCCTCTTATTCCACATAAATTTACGCGTTTTTGCTGGTTTCCATAATTTCCGATTCCGACACTGACCTTTGCAAGTCGAGCGCTCCATAAATAGACACTGCATATCTAGGTGGGTTAGTTACTTTGACCTAAGAAAACAAGGCCAACAAGAGAATCGTGTAACAAAACCACTACAACTTCTTTAATATTTAATATAAATATACTGAATGTATGCAAAATTGAGGGAACAGAAGTGGGTTGGAATTGGCATATATTAAAATTCTTTAAAATCATATTTAACAAAGAAAAAATAAAAGTACTTGCACAACTATTGATCAAATTTAATGACTTTATATATACCCAATCTCTCAGCAACTTTCAAATTATTAAATTCCATAATTCCTCTTAGGTTCTCAAACTGATTTAATCACAGAAAATTTTCATCAAGGTAAATGCATTCAAACGTGATCGAAATAATTTCACAAATTCGTACCTTTTCCTTTGTGATTATCCTGCCTGGATTATTTTTAGCTCAATATTTTTTAAATTACATATTTAAGGAAATTATTTTAAAAGATATCATTACGTGCTCTAAATACATTTTGACAATTTTTCTTCAAGGATTACTAAGCACATATCTGCGGCGTTACATCAAGCATATTTGTGGTTGGAGCAGTAATATTTCAGGGGAAAAAATCACTATGTAAGCAGATATGCAATCCTCATTAATATTGAACATCAAAAGCATATAGAGATTTCATTTTGGTATCATTAAAATATTAAAATATGCATAATCAATTCAATTGTGATATGCTTAAGGAAGTATGTCATTTGTTTGCCTTATTCCTTTGATAAACTCTTAAGCTCGTTTGTTTTATGTTAAAGACATTTCTATTATATTAGTTAATAAACTGTTTTACTATTTCGGATAATTAAGACTTAAAATATAAGTTCTATCGATATTGATTCTACAATTTCAAAGGTGAAACAGTTGTTAATACAATGTCAGTGGAGGACCATAAATTTGGAGGCTCTTTGGAGAAGAAGTTTTTGCGACACATACATATATAGCTATAGTAGAAAGAAGTATTAATCTTCTTATCTTTCTTCGATATCCATAAGAACCTTGACTTGTTTTCTAAACATTTATCATGTTTCTTCAATTTAAATGCCTTAGTCCATTTGATACGAATTTACTGAACATATCAATTATTCTTGTTATGATCAACTCACTATTACTCATGTACAATCACTGTTGAAAACAATATTTTCTGTAACGTGTCCGATTTTTTATGTCCTGAAATATCACTCTAACAGACATTACTTTATTTTAATTATGTTTTCGTCTGTCGATTTAATATCTATTGACCTATTTTCATCATTCTCTCTCTCTCTCTCTCTTTCTTCCGTTCGACTATTTCATCTAAATATGTGACTGCCTACTAACAAATTTTTTGCTCTTTACCTTTCTTTTTTCTATTTTTGTTTCGATAATTTGAGTTCTCCAAATTCGTCGACATCTCATTGTCCGACCTAATTGCTATACTGACGAGACCACTGTCTTAATGGCATGCAAATAATTTAATTAGAAATTAATTTAAATATTTAAATATTTGTATTAATATAGATATCCAGTAATTTAAATTGAGATAAACTCAACTAAAATTTTTTACAAGTGGAAAATGCTTCATCATCGATTACTATGTTTCGTAGATGCGAGTCAGAAGAGGAGATCGAAAGTATTACCCATCATTGTCCGGTATTCACGAGATGGTGCACATTCACTCTGATGTTTCCCTTGCCATCTGATATCGCTAGCATAGGCATTAAAAACATTAAAGCGACAAAGTCGTTTCCTGGTAAAGGGTTCACCTGAAAGGGTTAGCATATCTATATATATTTATATGTACTTATGTAAATGAGTTGATCTTTACTACTTGACAAGCAAGCACTTGTACCTCATTTTTCCTCCACATCATCTCAATTAATTTAAATCTTATAATTGAAAACTTTAATATCAATTATAATAATATATATTATTATATGTATATAATATATATATCGATTATAATAATAATATGATAGTATAATTATAATAATTAATTTATTAATTCACAATAGTATAAATATTATTATAATCTTAATGAATTATTTATTTGAAAGCAGTTCTCATAGCTAAAATCTCCAACGGATTTATAGTAGTGGTCCAAAAGTGGACTTTTTATGGGCATCACCATGATATTAATCGGTTTTATCTTTCTTTAGAAATAAAGCTCTAAAAATCACCCCATATTATAGAAGCTTCGTTTTACATACTCTTTATATAACTTTCATGTGCATGGAAACTCTTTAACAAACATTTTTTTAATGTTTGAAATTATAATATTAGAAAATATCACCAATTTAACTTCATTAATTTAAATTAAATTTCTTTTAAAAATTATGTATAGAATATTAACTGATGAGTGATTTTTTAAAAATTTTTCCCACATTAAATGAAAAGTTTTTGTCTAAAAATATTTTTGTCCAGTCATCCCATGGTAACGCATCATATTTTAAATTGCACTAGAATTTTGAAAATCATCGTTGTAACCCAAAATAAAGCAAACAAATAAATGATAAAAAGATAAACTATATCACTGAAATATATGCAAATTAGATACTTCAGATGTTGAACAAAAGATTGAACATGATGAGTTCGGAACGAGGCACACGTTTGCCAGTTCGACTCCTCACCCAATCGCACTGGCAGAACTTAACATCGTTGGCCTGGGCTGGCCTGTGACTGTGCTAATGTTTACCTTTTAACTGCAGTTTCGAGATTTCAATCGACTACTGTTTCTACTTCAGAAATTATCGCTTTTCCATAAGACGAACCTTGTGAACTCTTTCGCCAGTGCAACAGGAACGCATTCGAACGACTGCACAGCAGCTGCTTGCCCTTTCGTCACATACCGATTCGTGACTACTCAATATGCAACGCATAAGTTCTAAGTCGATTTTTAAACATTTTTTGAGTTTATGTTTAAATTTTTAATAACCACGCTACGTGGTGTGTGGCTCAGTTTCTGTGGTGCTCTGGTGCCGAGGACGTACTTAGGTCCTCTTGTGCATTCGCTTTGTGCGTAGTTGCTTTAATTTCGCTGGCAATTTACACCGTACACCTCTGCACCTTTGCAACTCTCTTGCATTTGGTTTGAAGCGAAGGGCGCCGTACGCCCAGCTTATGCAGAGGCGGCTTGTTTGTTATTGGCGTACGAAACTCACTTTTATGTATAAGCGCCTTTGTTTATTTATGCCAAAATGTGCACGTTTTGTTGTTAAATTACTGATTTTGGCATTTTGTGCCAGTGACGTGGACATTGTTGTTTCTAATATAATTGTTTTTGTTTAATATTTTATAGCCTGCATACACTGTCTGCACTACATAATTTACGTATATTTGACATTTTTGACTGATTTATCGATGTGAGTAAATGCTTTCCTATGAAATCGCATAAAATAAGCAAGCAAACAGTCGAGCATAAACAACAGCTCTGCCTACACACAGCAACTAAGCAAACACTGATATGCGCATAAATTTTTGCATAATTCAAATAAATTTACTAATGTACGCCCACCCTCCATCCTCCCTGTGTCTTTTCCCAGCATTTTTTGTTATAATTTAAAATGTTTATTATTGACTTTAGTTTTTGTTGTTTTTATACCAAAATTAAAACATAACGAATTTGGACTAGCATATTCATTTACGGCTGTGTGTAGCGGATTAAAGGACACTAATGAGTGGGAACATTAATGCGGATTAAAATTGGTTATATACTACATACTCGTATACTTAGGCATATGCTCACAAAAAAAAAAAAATAGGAAACCTAGGTATCCTATTTCGTGATGAAATGAAATTTGTCAGGAATTTAGAAATTTGGCAGGCAAGTGGAGCAGGCTTAGTATATATAAGTTTTAGTAAAATGGTTCAGTGGAGTAATAAGTATCTCGTCAAGATTGATATTTAGAACATTGATATGAATATTTTTATTTAGGTGTTATAAAACAAAAAATTACGTTACAAACAATACTGGAAGATATTACGGAAGTGTTACCTGATGTTTCAAAATAGGTATAACAAAAAGGATACTTGGACGTAGAACTGAAATTCAGTCTAATAGATCGGTTTTATTACTTTGATCTCAGTGAAATACAAAGATAAATATGTATGTTACATTTAAATATACACATAAATCCTTATTATATATGTAGTATTTAATTCTACTATGAATAATTAATCAAAATATTTTAATGCTGATTATTTAACATTACTTTGACATTCTTTCTTGACTAGCGAGGGCAATCTTGTGAAAAAATAATACTCAATTAATATTTTTCGCAAGACAGGCATACATTGATATCTTTAAAATTGGTAACATTTTTTAAGATATTGTGCAGACATAATTTAAAAAATTATTAAATTGCAATGCAAAGTACCATCCAAAAGATATGAGTGAAAGACCTGCGTGTCTCGAATCATACATCTCAGATAGTTGTCTAATTGCTGCAATAGAATGCAATTGTTTTCTACAATGTGAGAACACTCACATTGTAGAAAACAATATAATATATGAAGATGAAATGATTCAAAACCAACAAGAATTTCTCGAAAAATTATTTTACTTTGCTAGTAGTATGTCTTAAATAATGGTAACATAGAAGAAACTAGAACAAAACAAATGGTATTTAACCATTGAAATTTTTACTCGCAATTCCTAAATCCCTTTCTTCATATATTTCTTCCCCTCTATGATCTCAAGAATTTCATGTAGGATTAATAAATATAATTTTAATATTGGAAATATGATTGGATTCCAATCATATATTCACTTTTCTAAATCTATTAATGCATTTCCGTATACAAAAAAAAATAGAAAAAATACATAAATAAATCCACTGTATTTATTTTTTTATTTAAGTTTTATTTGATCCAAATAATATCGTCAGAGTATCACAAAAATGGAATTTTAATTAAGTCTTCTTCAGAGTTTTGCGAATCGAGTGATTTCATTAATGGATCATCCCTTTTTGGCTTCAAATATTTATCTTTCCAAATGTTCATATAAAAATTTTGATATTTTTTAACTTTAAGTATGTCGTCTACTTGTGATGATTTTCCATGCTTCAAAATAGAATCCATTGAGTCATGAAATGAGTATGCGCTGGCTTTACTTCGACGACGTGCGCCTCTATCAGCATCTTTTCTCTTCCTCTTTATCCTTCTTCCGTATTCATCGTACTCATAATCATCGCTATCGCTGTCATCGACATTTGGTGGCCCCACTCTACAACCGCCAAAATGTTTGCGTCGTGGCAGTTCTGTTACACTTACGGTAGATTCAGTTTCCACTTCAGATGCACCCATATATTCTGAAGATTCCTCTTCATACTCTTCTTCACCAAACGTTGACTCTGACGGTGTTGTGGGTGTAACTTCACAAGTACAAACATCGCAATCACATTGACAAACACTATCACATGATAAACTAATAGTGTCGCCACGACAATCGACAGGACATTGATGGTGTTGAGGCCTATCTAACCGTTTGGACAAATCAATTGGCTTGTTTTTAACGCGGAACCATTTACATTGAAATGGACCTTGACCACAATCAACATTTTGTACGCCCGTGACTGGATCGACATCACATTCACATATTAGTTTTGGACAGGTACATTTCAAGCAACGCGGCAACTTTACTGTTTCATCAGAGTCAGTACATTTTTCTTCCTGTTCTTCTTCTAAACAAACATTTTCATCGTTGTCATCGACTATATCTTTATCTGTTTTATTACATATTAACTGTGCGCATGCCTTAGAATCTGGATAAGCAGTTTTAACTGGTTCTATAGGTATAGCGTATTTTACTTCTGTGCTATCAAAACAGTCTTCACATGTACACACATCTCCAGCTATTGGCTCTGCACGTCTTTGTATCCGATCAAACAAATGTTTATATAAACACATTATATGCCTTTCGTATTTGCTGTATGCATTATAAAACATGCCTTCGTACTCAGAAAAAACTTCCGCAGTCCTCTTCGCTGCATGCACCCACAAACACTCCTGTGTATGCACTAGTTTTGCCTCCAGAAGGGTATTTCTAATGCCACCCTCGGTAGTACCATAGTAGAATGCCTTAAATGCCCGTTTCACGATTGCATAGGATAAGTGGGATTCACTTAATGTCATATTACAATCTGTGGTAAACTTGTACATCAAATCTTCACGGCGTAACCGTTTTTTAGGAACCACTCCTATACCCCGCAATATGTCATCGTAGTAGAGAAATGCGTGTATGACAACTTCAGCTGATAGTGCGGCATTGCACTTATCGACGCCACACACTATCATTACCTTGACAAGGGTTGCAGCTATATCCTTAATGTTATTTAGAAATGCTTCTGCCGATAAATCCTTGTGAGGGCAGGAACATGCATTTTGGCTTTGGCATGGGCACCTGTAATTTTGTAAATAAGCTTGAGCTTGCATTTTTCTGTTTTTTCTTAACTTTTAATTTAGTTATCACTTCAAAATTTTACTTCATGATTGCGCCAGAAACCTTTAAATTTTTTCTAACACAAATGTTATTGTACTTTTAAAAACAATTTTAAACAATGTATAAAAAAAAACATGGTTTATTATATTAAATACATTTTGATTCAATATTGACAATAAAATAAAAACTTTGACGTTTACAAATTAAAAATTTTTATTATGTATTCTGGACTCTCAGGAAGATATGCTGATTTAAGGTCCGTCATCAACTAAAAGACAAATAAATGATATGATTATTTAGCCTAGTTAAAGCCTAGTGTGGGGTAGAGATAAGCCCCCCAGCCATTATAGAGTAAAAGTGCGTAATAGCACTAACTCAAGTAGAAGAAGAAGAAGAAAAAGATGCATTCTTAAATAAATAAAATTTAAAAAAAATTATATTCTCGCTATTATCATCTACTGGTTGGATAGAGTAGATCCCTCACTGAAGTACTAAACAAATTTTATGGAATTCAACTGAACCGAAGCCGAGTTACTGTATCTAAAGTGACACTATGTTTGTGTTACAGCACAAAACTAAATACCGAACATACCGAGTGTTTTATAATCAATAAAATCTTTAACGAAATATTTTGATTAATCAATGTCTTTACATATTATCATAAGAAATGCCTGTTTACAGTTAGGCCCTGCCACAACTCCATTTTTGGAGATAATATAATTACTTGCTTTAATAACTGATTGTTTTTTTCGCGTCTCGTAAAAACTAAATGTTTTCCATCGCATATGCACCCACATACAGGAACATCTACATTGTTCCCAGTGCCATTGATAATGATTTTTCGATTTTCTTTATTTTGAAAAAATATTTTTGATATTTTTCAGATTCCACAAGAAGCTAATGAATGGCCTTTGATTTCTTGAGCTATACTACCACGAGTATGTTTACTGTGGTTCGTTACTATTTCCAAATATCATTGTTGGTGATATTAAGACTGTCTTTATTTTTTAAAAAGTACGGTTCAATTATATCATCATACCATTATGAATACCAATAGTGCATTTTTCAGATTCCTCAAGGATAATTGCCCTTGATTATTCTGATTATACTGACCTGTTTCTACTTGCATTAGCAATACATTTATTTTTTATTTGTTTTTAAAAAAGCTATATCAAATCATGCCATCAGTCTGCAAGCATTACCAATCGGAACATTTTTCAGAACGTATCAGTAGCGAACTGTATAACCATTATCCCTTCATCTTAAATGTGATATTATTTCTACAATGGGTGAGTTCACATGGTTTAGCACATTTTATACTGGACATTTAAAATTGATACATTTTCTAACAATGCTCTGACATGAATCCATGCAGGGTGACGTACCACACGTCTAATAAAATGGTAATGTAAGCTTATGGATCAAGTATTGGTTGTTTGAGCACCGTTATATTAATGGATGTACCTACAATGTATTGCAATAAATAAGAACCAATTATAACCTCTGTTTATTGATATTGAATTTCCCGAAATATAAAAAGTGATTCTCATATATCAACAATTTGTCTAACTGATGTTATATTTTATATAGAGCAATATAATAGAATAGAAAATATATATCACAGAAAGTTGTGGAGAAGCATAAAACCAATAGTGATGTTTGCAATATAATCACAGATTTGAAGAGCTGACGTAATCATACAAAAATAAAAATGTGTTTATGCGGTATATATCTTTTAAAATTGATCAATATATTTTAATTATGTAAAATCAAAAATTCGAAAGATTGAGAAAAAATAGTTATACAAATGTGAGTAACAAATTTCATAATATTTTTGAATAATCTATGTTTTCAATCATAGATCAAATAAAATATTTTTTTCTCTTTTTTGAGGAGGAAGACTAGAAACTGTGTTGCTGATAAAAGTGATTATTGATTCTTGATTGTTTTCAAAGACTCATTGAAATCGTTTATTGGACATTTTTACGATGCTCATAACTGCTTCACTGCAGCAATAAACAAGCAAAATGTCACCGAAACGAAGATTAAAAATGTTGGTGGCAAAGATGCAATGCAGAGATTGGGACTCGTTTACTCCAATCAAGATACGGACATACTTAAGTTCAAAAGTTGAGAGTTTATTTGTTTTTTATTTACTATGCTATTTTTGTGTAAAGTTTATTTAAAACTTTTTATCTCTGTTCGAATTTATTAATCGATATTCCTAGCATAAAGCGATTTTATTAAAGACCAATATATTTTGTGCTTATTGCTCGTATTAAAAAGTTCTTAAGAAGTTTGACTCAAACTGCATCAATCCTGCGCATATTTAATTGCGCTAAAAGGACCAGTGTACAAAAATTTTATGATTTAAATTCGTTTCCTACCTCAGGACAAAAACTTTATTAAGTAAGCATTAAAAATGCAAAATGACGCAAACGTACGTGCCACAAAAACTTCTGCCATTAAGATTCTTAAATTAACTTATTACTGGAAATTAATTCCTAAAACGCTTAAAAATAAATAAATAATAAATATTTGTATAAAAATGCTATTATAACAGAATTACTTACAAAATGTGCCGATATGTAGGCAAGAACCTATTCGATAACACTAGCTGTAATCACATTTCATAGTAGTAGATATATATACAGATACAAAATGGTATCAGTAAAGTCGTTTTAGCGTTCGCAAAAAATTTGATAAATAAATTATAACTTCTCCAAGGAATACAGTACCTATATAGTCCAAATTAATTTAACTATTAAAAAACTATTTTATTACCTATATATTTATTATATAAATTATAATAAATAAATATATTTATTATTTTATTACATTTTATTACCTATATAGTATATGTATATGTTATATGTTAAAACACCAAACTGCCGGATATAATCCAGAAACACTAAACGACAATCAAAATTAAACGAGATCAATGCCAAACAATAGGTTAAACTGTGAACTCTAATCGCTTAAAAGAAGGTCTCAATAATCTTATAAATTTATTAAATAACGACAGAGAAGGTACAGTATTATGGAGCCACTGACTTGAGTAAAAAAAGATTTGCAAAGCATCGTCAAATGAAAGAATTTGGGAAAAAGAGATTGTGCCACACAATGGGAATGATTGTCTTTTGGACTAAATGTCTAACATGCCAGATACCTTTGATTGTATTAATTATAGTAAAATCTTGTCCCAAACAAAAGGTTTTCAACAATTATCCTGCATCATATTTCGATATCTGTAAATAACACTTAAAATCTGCACGTTCACAAAGAAACAAATCATACGTATTTCGAAATATGGCATAAGTTTCGAACTACCTATCTCACAGACAAATATTTTTGAACTTAAAAACAATCTTTCTATAATCTAAACCTCATATGACAAGTTTGTCGCGTTTACTGGCATTGAATAGAGAATGCAATCCATTGCACGTTTCTATGACTTCATAAGAAAGATTTTAGTTTAATCTGTTGGGAGAAGCAACTTTTGATGTAAAGAAGATCCTAGTACTAGTACAGTTTGGAAGTCAAAGAATAGTCCTAACAGTAAAAGAAACAAAAGAAGTCGCGTCGTCCTCTCTGAAACGAAAAGAGGATCACATAAACATTGTAGTAAAATAATCACGAATATGTAAAAAAAGGAAGAAGCATTCATAAATACTGTCGTACATACTGTAGTAATTTAATTATTGGTAGCGCCATTTCAACCTAGAATCGGTGCCACCTAAAAACAAAAAAATGGGTAAAACAATGAATTGCCATTCGTTTAACAAAGTAGCTTTATTCACCAGTTTTGGTTGAATTTTTGCAAAATTAAATGGTGATTTCGGCTATATATATTAAAGAAATGTTCAATTAAGATGGTTATAAAGTCAAGATAAAAATATTTCAAAAAATAATCTTCAACAAAATTAAGAACATTCTTTTATAAAATTAATGGCATTACTTATCAAAAACCTCTCGTTTGTATACATTACTTTAAAACCAGTTATGATATTTGATAACTTGGAGTATTCCACAAACTTCAAAATTTTCGCTAACACATCCTCATTAACTTTATATATGTAATAACGTGAGTTAAAGTAATTGGCAAGCTGTCAGACATAGATTACTGGAGTTTTGATGAAACCAGTTAGGGAGATTATACCCGTACACCAAGAGCAGTGGTAATATATTATTTTTTGTTTTATATGCTAAGACCATTTATTTCACATATTCAATAGAATAGGTTACTGTTTTTAACGTTTGACGGAAATACCACACAGTGGATTAATTTTTTATATAAAAATATCATCTAAACTAATTTGTATTATTTCGAGCAACTGTTTTATGTGTTTTCGATATTTTTTCGTACATAATTAATATAAATTATTTGAGTAATCGAAATATATCCGAATGGCTCACATTAACTCTATATGTCATTAATATTACTGCTTCCAGCGCTAATTAAAATCTAATACGCTTTTGTCTCCAACTACGTGTGCAGTTCACGACCCATATTGAAGTTGTTCCTGCATAAATAAATTGCTTCGCAGGCCATTATAGAAAAAAGAGCAACCATAGGAAGAAAAATGGGAAAACTAGAAGCAGAAATAATAATAATAATAAACCAGAACCACCGATAACAACGTGAACACTGCAGGGCAGGCTTAATTAATCCATTACCGCGCATTGATACGAAGCAGTTAGAAGCGTCGTCATGACAATGTAAAGATGGCGCTGCTTGACAGTATCACACCGCATTGTCATTGCTGTCGCTAATGGCACAAAATTTACTCCACACCCCACTTCACTACAATTCTTTTTCATTTTAGTTAAAAATTTGTGTTGATAAAAAGTCACCGATAAAAACAAAAGCAACAAGAGACAAAACAGCACTCGCACACACATACAAACACACATACACTCCCTTGGGGTTTCTGGGTTAAGCATTGACTTTTGAATTGATGATGTGCTGTGGTGCACTTTGACAAAAAGTGCCTTGAGTGAATGTTTGACAGCTAATTTAGTTCTAAAAATGAAAATGCATTTCGCTGTTTGCCAGATAAACAATTATGCCAACACACACACATACACACAAACTCACCCACACGCACGAACACAGGCTACTCTACTTTTTATATTTGTTGCTTTCTATTCTATGGCAAAACAACAAAAAAAACTCAAAATTAAAATAACTTAAATCAAATTCCATTCTATGAATTCATCATTTCGTGCACCACCCAAACCTCTCCACTGCAACAAAAGCAAAATAAAAACCAAAAAAAAAAACAAAAATACAAGAAGACAAGAACACAATGAAGAGTGAATGATGTTTTGTATGGGAAATTAACACGACACACGTTTTGCTGTTTAATGTTGTTTTCCTTGCTCATTGTTTAACCATTGTTGTTGTTGTTATTATTGTTGTTGTTGTTCTTGTCTTGTTGCCTTTTGGTTCTAACATTTTCATAATGTAAGTGAATGGCTTGAATGACACAAACGTTGCATTTATGTTTCGTTTGTCGCCTGTCAATCGTGCGTCAATTTTATTCAATAGTCTTGTGTTCTTCGTGTAAAAACTTTTCACAGTCTTCTATGCATTAAATGAAGCCTAAAGTGTTACTTAATTCCACTGTTATTGTGGTTGTTGTTGTTATTGCTATTGTTGTTGTTGTTGTTGTGACGAATATGCTTATCAAAACGTTTTATTGACTTCTTCTTAGGAATACTACAAATCTATTCAACATGCACTTATGGTACGAATGCGTTCCGTTCTTACCCTTCTCAGCTTTCACATACGTTTAGCTTAGCAATTAGCTGTTCCATAAACTGCGATCCATTGAGGCCCTCCTCATGGCGCTTCATTTTCAACGTTCATAAAAACTGAATTTTAAATTTAAAAGCGTAAATTTATTTTAAATTTTATTGCTCCTGGCCTGCGATGCATTCAGATAAAGTTATAATCGATATTGAAACTTAGATATGTTACTGAAATTGTTTTCTAGTGCTTGTACCTCACTTCAATAATTTAAAAATTAAAAACCGTAACAGACAAACATTTGTCTTTTATTTTCTTACATATAAAATACATTAGTTATGTTATATTGAAATTAAATAACATTTTGATAAAATCGTAGAAGAGAATGGTAGACAATGCAAGATAAAGATCATAGAGAACGAGGCACAAATTGCAGCAGAATTGCGACTCAAACTCATAGGTCTTACAACTGTGTGTCAATTAGAG